AAAATTTATTATTAGTAATAATGACATATTGGATGATGAAATTCTTATGGGTTCTTGCCATCGACTCTAGGTATGGGTGTAAATTGGGTCCGGCCCGACCCACCTGAGCTGGGCTCGTGCCGACCCATGTTGGGCGGCCTGAGCTCTTACCAAAATTCAAGTCAAGTTGGGCCGCGTCACGAACTAGAAAATTAGGCCCAGGCCCATGGAGTATTCGAGGCCTTGAACGAACCAACAGGTTGGGCCTGGCCTTGGGTGGGTCTAAATATTTTTTTTTAATTTTTTTCTATTTTTTTTAATCAAAATTTTATTATTTTTCACTAAAAATGACACTGGGTCTCGGGCGGGCCGGACCCATGGGTCAGGCCGGGTTTCAAAATGATAATGATGGCCATGGCCCAGGCCCAGGCCCAGGCCCAAGATCCCAGGTTAGGCTCTGGCTTGGGCCTAACCAAGCTGGGCTCACTCGACACTGCGGGCGGGCATCGAGCCAAATTTACACCCTTACTCCTAAGGTTATTAGTTTCTATCATCACACATAAATATATTAGCAGTTTGCACACGTGGCGCGTGTACAATTCGCAAAAATCATAATAGTATAAGAATAATGATCCAAAAAAATGCACATATAGTATGTGTTGCTCAACTTGTAGCGGCTTGCTTCGTCAAATTCATGATTTTGGTTTCAAGTTTTGTCATTCTCTGTTAATAAATACCAATTATAGGGGTATTTTGAAAAAAATTCAAAATATAAGACATTTTGTGTCGACACCATATCAAGGCTTCACACATATAATAGTATAGATTGGAGGTGGTCACGGTTCAGTTTTGGACAGTTTGCAGATCGGTTTAGACCCGCCTACATGTATGCGGTTTGAGGAAAATTCAACCCGCAACCGCCCACAGTGCGGTTTGCGATTTGTGCGAATAGAGTTCGCAAATGTGCAGGCAGTTTGCAAATTGGACTTTTTTCTTTAAAAAATTATTTTGGAGCCTTTTTTTTTTTCCATTTTGTAAATATTTATTTTGGGCCATTTTCCCCCCATTTTCTAAAATGCTTCAACATTAATAATTAATGAATTAAAACTTATAAAATTAAAACACAACAAAATCAATTCCTAACACAAACAAATCATTCAAAATCTTAAACTTTTAAATCAAATCATAAACTAATACAAGCACATCTTTCAAAATTTTAAATTAGATCATCAATATCATTTACTATCTTCTACCCAACAATACAATTAAAGTAAAATCATTCAAAATCCTAAACTTACCTAAAAGTAATTCTTCATTAACTTTTAAATTCATAAAAAATGCAATAATAAAAAAGCAACGGTCCAATTTTTTTTATTTTATTTAAAAAGAGTCTAAGTGCGAGCGGGTTCTTGTGTGTGCTTGTTAAACCCGCAACCCGCAATCATGTCATGTTTCAAATCGCACCCGCCCGCATTATATTTGCGAAACTACCCATTTATATGCGAATTGGTTTGGGTTGAGTGGGTTGAACGGTTCGGATAACTCTATATCCACCCCTAGTATAGATATTTTTTTTAAAAAAAATGCCTCACAAGCTATTATTACTATATATTTAAATTTTGTATTTTGATGATAATTTTAAAAATAAGAATATTCTCTTATAAAACTAAATAGAATAAATCATTAGATACGATAGAATTATATAAATTGTATTATAAATAATAGGAATTGGAGAAAATATAATATGTCATACAATTTTAACATATTTATACCAACTTTCATTTTACTAAGATTAAAATGACCAAAATTAATGTAGGTGTAATGACACAAAGATAAACAAAATAAAATATACGTTTTATCATAAAAGAGATGACAAATCATTTTGCATCTATATAACTAATAAATTACTGATGAAAAAAGAGTTTGATTAATAGCTATTACTTTCAATATTCGATAAATCTATTCATCACCACTTTAAGATTTTATGACAAATTATTAAGATTTTAAGCGAATCCAATGCAATAACACTCAAGTATCTATTCATCACCACTTTTATCAACTTCAAACAATCACCAGACTAAATTATTCGATAAATCTCTATTTTGTATAAGTTCCTTTTTGGATTAATTCTTTTTGTTTTCCAATAATCATTTGAAGTGGGGAGTTTCATCAGTAATTTCCAGTTTTAATGGAATGAAAGTGGAATTAAATAATCAATTAAAATGTTAATGCTCACATATGCTAAAAAAATATATTGAAAATAGATCGTTATTCACCAATATAAAAAATGATAATTCCATTTGAAATTATTGAATGATTGTTAAACTTTCGTTCTAATGAACCATACGCTACATTATAGTTTGATTAATAACTATTACTTTCAATATTGCTTTGTTTTTTTTTTTTCTTTTGTTGCTGCTTCTTCTTCTTCTTATTCTGCTTCTTCTCCTTTCTTTTTTTTTCATTCTTTTTTTTTTTTTTTTTCAATCTTACGGTTTCAGTCATAAATAAGGCCAAGTTTGGCTAACAAAAAAAAGTGCACTTATCTTTTTATCTTTTTTGGGTCACATCAATCAACATTTTTTCTCTACTTTTTCTACACATAATACAAAAAAAAGTCAAATTATTTAATCTTTCCAAACTTGACCAAGTTAATCATTTGGATTAGCTAAGTTGACCATCATCACTGTTATATTTCTATACGTATCATTTGGATGAGCTAAGTTGACCATCATATATTTCTATATGTGTAATTAATAGGTCAATCTTTAAAAATGCAAATATTGATTATTTATTCTATGGTGTAGGACTTCTTCTTCTACTTCTTTTTTGTAATTTATTTCTTTCTCTTTTGAGAGGGAGGTTTATAGTCAAAAAATTAAAAATTATTATAAATTATCACATTACACTTTCTATTTTTTATACATCTTTTCATAAAGTCACAAAATTAATTAAAACAATCAATTTCCAAATGAGGTCTTAGGATTATTTTATTATGGGAAGTCTAGTTTTGTTCGCACATCTTACTTAAATGGTGTCTTTTGTGTATCATTCATAAATAAAATTAGTTCGATCTGATAATCATAATATTTTTATTTTATCGTTTGTGTCTCTAAAAAAATGAACGACAAATATATTTTTTAAAATAGACCATTCATTATGAAAATTTGTATAAAATATAGGAATTTGTGATACTAATTGCGACTTGTAATTTTGAAAATTACATTTCATTTTTTCAAATTTGTAATCGCATAACAAATTATCCTTTCATTAATTAATCAATAAGTCAATTAATAGTTTTTAATAAATTTTGATAAAGAAATATTTGTAATTTCTGAAACCATTGAAGATAATTCACATTTTAAACAAGGAAAAAAAATTTTATGGTCCCTAACATTAAGATTTTATAAGATAAATAACATATAATATTTTTATAGTAGTTAAGGTCCTTCAACATTTTTACAGAAAAAATTCGACTTAGAGAAATTTTGCCCGGCTCAAAGAAATTTTAATTTTCATAGAAAAATTTCAAAATTTCTTTGTAAAATCAGAGAAATTTCTGTGAATCGGAGTCAAAATTTGTCTGAGTCTTGCGGAATTTTTCTTAATTGAACAAAAAAATTATGAGTTAAATTTTTCCTGTGAAAATGTCGAGTCAAATTTTTCTTGTGAAAATGTTGAGGGACCTTAGTTAATTAAAAAAACAATGTCTTAGACCTCTTCTACTACACAAAATTAAAAAAAAAAGATATTTCACTAATTTTTTCTTTATGTGTTTGATTGGAGGATTTAGGGAGGGATTTAGAAAGGGAAATGAAAAAGATAGGTGAAATGTGAATAAAACATGCTTATATTTCACCTAATTTTACACACATTTTTCCTTTCCCTTTCCAAATTCCTCTCTAAATTTCTCAACTAAACACAGCATTAAACAAATCACGGATAATATATTTGTAATTCACTCTTTTATCCACAAGATAATAAAAATAGCAAGTTAAATGACAGGAGACAGTCCACCAACAAACAATTTGTTTATTATATACCGAGGACCAAACTTCATAAAAAAAACTTTGAAAGCAAACAAAATTACAGTAAGCACACCTAAAATAAATTTGCAATATTCTCAATATAAAAGGACAAAAATGTAATTTAACACAAAGCTAACATAGAGTCATTTGTTGAGGACAATTTAGGTAAAACAAAAAATGCGCAATTTCATTATTTCAAAATGGGAGAGATTTTTACAGTTGTGATATATATATTGGGGGTGTTTGGAAAGAAATTTTTTTTTGTTTTTTTTATTAAAAGGTAAATTGATTACAAAATCAAAAAAAATAAATTCAAACAAAATATCATATCAAATTTCATAATTATTTTACTTTTTCTCTTACAAACATCACATCCAATTAAAAAAAAATCTTCTCAAATACAAAAATAATTTTCTCCAATAATATCTTACAACTAAAAAATTTTATAAAAGAACTCACTTCCCAAACACCTACCTATACAAACATGGATTTCACACATTCACTATCTCTAAAGAATGTGTTTAGAAGTATAAATGAATGTAATTGTGACATAACTCATGTTTTTTTACTTCATTTTTTCTTAACCAGCTAAATACTACTTAAAATAAAAAATAGTTAAAAGTTAATTTTTTAATTTTTTAAAAAAAAATTAAATAAATATATAAAAAGATAATTTAACTTAAAATAAATTAAAAATTAAAAGATAATCATCTTCTTAAAATAATCGTACATAATTTTAAAATAGAAAGACAGCCAGCAACACCAACACAACTCCACCTCAAAAAAAATTATTGATTGATTTTAGAGTATGATGTAACCATATTATACATCAATCATATTTTTTTAATCACTTAATATTTTTTATTTACTCAATATAATTTTCTAAATTTTAGTAATGTTTTGAGAAGTTAACTTTATAATTTTTTAAATTTTTTAATAGTTATTTTAATAAAAAAACTGAATTATTTTAGATAAAAAAATTAATTTTTTTACTAAAAAAATCAAAAAACTCAAAAAATTAATTTCTCTACCAATCACGACATCACACCAACCAATAACTTCTCCACCACAAACATATTGCGAATTTAATTACCTTTACTTTATTGTGAAATTGACAAATGCTCACAAATGCTCTGCCGTGTAAATTGTTGGCAATCAAACATTGACTAACATATCCTCCATCAGCCTTCCGATCACGTTGAATGAAGATCCACCCTCCACCAACGCCTTCTTGCTCCTCTCCAATCTCTTTCACCTTCTCTCTCACATCACTGTCACTTACCATCACACTCCTCACCGCTCTTTCTATCTCATCGGCCATCACAAGGTCACCACCGCGGCGATAGTCCAACCTCATCTCCACCGCCACTCCCAACTCCCTCACCATAGTGAACGCGTTGAGCTGTTGTTCAGCGGACATTGGCCACGTCACCAAAGGCACACCGTTCCACAAGCTCTCCATGATCGAGTTCCATCCGCAGTGCGATACGAACCCTCCGATCGCTTTGTGGGCCAGTACCTCCGCCTGTGGGGACCACCCACACACCATCCCCTTCCCTTTGGTCCGTTCGATGAACCCATCTGGCAACATCTCCTCCTCCGGATTCTCAACTTTTCCTTGTGGTGTTGTTGTAAATCCAAGCCCATCAATCTTGGACTTGCGATAAATTCGGGCCCACTAATCTTGGGCTATTGGGCCTAAATAATTTAGTGGGCTTAAATTAGCTCCTCTTACAGGGTGCACCGAATGTCCCCATGCTCCCGAAGCACAGGAACACCACCGACGATGGATCTTGATCATCAAGCCATGTCATTATGTTGTTGTTCTTACTGTGGGACCCTGGGGAGCCTAGCTTGTTCTGGGCCTCACCCTTTGCATCAATCACCGGTCCTACGGTGTAGATTGGAGGGGTTTGACCTTCGCACAGTGAGCTAATAGCATGGGATTCCAACTCCAGTAATGTATTTACTATAATGCCCTTGGTGTCCCTAAACCTTTTTGCCAGCTTGAGATAAGCAGCGTAACCACCGTCCTTGTTGAACACTGCGGAGGGCAAAACTCGTGGAGGAACTGGGTTGATAAAACCCGGAATCAAAAACTCAGGATCCGATTCGCTGAACTCGGTGCTGACCCGGTCGTGGCGGGTTGGGATGTATAGCATGAGGCCAAGAAACGCAGCACCGGAGGTCAAGAATAGATAAGAAGGAAGACCGAGTTCGTTGCCAACGTCAATCATGGAAATGCAAAAGAAGTCGAGGACTAACCCAACGAGTCGGGGCGAGTTAGGGTGAGAGTGAGTCGACCCGATGAGGTTACCGAGGACGTGTTTGATGTGGGGTTTGAAACTTTCTATGTAAAGAGTGATGTAGTTTTCAGGGGATTTGGCGAGTTCAGATGAGTTGGGTGGATGGAGTTGAGGGAGGTCAATGAGTTTGATGAGTGGGTGGGAGGTGGAGAGTGAGTTGGTGTAGGAGTCAATGTTTGGGGGGGTGGAGGTTTTGAATTTGATGACAAGGATGGTGATGGAGAATCGATCATCTCGATCGATAAGGCGCTTCGCGAACTCTACAATTGAGACAAGGTGACCGATCCCTGGACATGGGATGAACACGAGCTCTGCTTTCTTCATCTCAGATTTAGGTCTCTTTCGAATTTGCGTCTCTCTTGCTTACTTTCTTCCTTCCTTCCTTCCTTCAATGCTCTTCGGCTCATGATCACACATCCATATACATATTGGATGATGAAATTCTCATGGGTTCTTGCCTTGGGTGGGGTGGGGTGGGGTGGGCCCTCGGGTTTGGGTGGTCCCAGGCGGACTTGAATAATATTTTTATATTTTTATTAAAATATTATTATTTTTTTATTAAAAATTACACTAGACTTTCGGCGGAACAAGCTGGACTGGCCTTAAAATGATTGCCTAAGCCAAGTCCAGGTGTATCAGAGATATTATTTAATTATTATTATTATTATTTTTTTTTATTGTGTTTTGTTTTTGCAGATGTATCAGAGTGTTCTTATCCCTGTGAGTTATGTGTAGTTAAAATTGATGGGTGTGTTTGGTTTGTGTTTGTAGAATAATTTTTGAGATAAAAAGTACGAAAATTTATTTTGTTTTTTTTTTTTAAAAGTAGTTTTGAAAATTTGTTTTGAGAAGAGAGTTTTTAAAAAAGTGATTGATTTGATGTGTATGAGAAAGAGAGTAATTTTGAAAAGTAGGTAACTAAACAAAATTTTGAAATTGTTTTTGGAAAAATTTGTTTGGTTTAATTACTCTTGAAAATTTGTTTATAGAGAAGTTTTTTCAAAAAAATTTTTGAAAAACAAACCAAACAAGGAATTGGTGTGGCTGCTGTGCGGGGGTGCACAACAGCCATTACTGTGCAGCCAATTGGGCCATTTTCGGGATTCATTTTGATAATTCGAACCGTTCACATTTTAGAATACATCAAGTAGAATATACCTGTAAAAAATCAAGTTAATCGGATATCTTTTACCCATTCATCCACTCACATTTGTATCTACAAAAATAAATAACAATTGTAATTTAAAATATTAAAATGAATACAAATGGTAAACGATATCCGATTAACTTGATTTTTTAAAAGTATGTTCTACTTGATGTATTTTAAAATGTGAATAGTTTAAATTATCAAAATAGACCCTAAAAATGACTTAAATGACTGCACGATAGTGGTTGCTGTGCATTCCCGCACAGCAACCACCCCAATTCCACCAAACAAGGCCATGTGTTTGGCCGTTTCTTTTTTTTTTTTTTTTATGTACCTTATAGGCTTGGATTTAATTTTTTTGAGAAGTTTAGGCCTGAAATAATACTTAACTTCATTAAATGGATTTTAATTTTAGAAATGTATTTTTATTTTCAGTCTGAAATATTTTCATTTAGACGACTAAATTTTTTGTTGCCAATTGGCCATTTTTTGACGGCTAAAAACAAATTAGTCGTCAATTCTTTTGCCAATAGTTAGTCGACGACCAAACGGGTGGCCAAGAATTTTGAGCAAGGATCCTCTATAATTTTTTTTTTTCTAAAGTTTCTTAGAGTGGTGTGTTGTATGGTTGAGGTTTAATGACAAGTCACATCAATTTTTTAGCATTAAATCTCACCCATACAACACACCACTTTAGGGAAAAAAAAACTCTATAGGATCCTTGGTGAAGAATTTTAGTCGGCAAAAAATTTTGGTGACTAAAAAAATAATTTTTGACGACTAAAAATTTAGGGGTTGTTTGGCATGTTCTAAATAAGTGTATTTTTTGACTTTTTATGAAATATGGGTTGGGTTTGAAGTGATGTGATAGAGAAGTTATGTGACTTAAATAAGATGATGTGACTTAAATAAGATAGTGACTTTTTGACTTTTTTTGAAGATGTCAAACCTAGCCTTAGTCTCCAAAAGTGTAATTTGTTGATGATGTGATGGAAAAAAGATAAAAAGATAGATTATTTTAGAGTTGCCAAACTTAACCTAATTAATCAATAAATCTCTGTTTTGTATAAGTTGTTTTTGGATTAATTCTTTTTGTGTTCCAATACACAGTCGAAGTAGTGATAGACTGCAGTGAGTTTTATCAGTAGTTTTCAGTTTAATGGAATGAAAGTGGAATTAAATAATTAATTAAAATGTTAATTCTCACGTATGATTAAAAAAAAATGTACTAAAAATATATCATTATTCGTCATTATAAAAAAAAAATAATGATTATTAAACTTTCATTCTAATGAATCATATGCAACATTATAATTTGATTAATGGATATTACTTTCAATATTGCTTATTTTCTTTTTTTTTTCTTTTTTTTTTTTCATTCTTACGGTTTCAATCATCTGGATTACCTAAGTTGACCATGATCACTGTATATTGAAAAATGATTTAGACCCCACAGGGGCACCCCACGTCCCCCTCTGGCTGGGATTGGCCTTTTTTTTTTTTTTTTTTTTCACCAGCCTCACGAGTGTATGGGGTGGTAGGAGTGGTGATTGCATAGTCTCAATCACTTCTAACTATATATTTCTATGTGTAATTAATAGGTCTCATTCTTTCTATTTTTTACACATATTTTTATAAAGTGAAAAAATCAATTAAAATAATCAATTTCTAAACGGGGCCTAGTATTATTTTATTATGAGTCTAGTTTTGTTCACACATCTTATTTAAGTGGTGTCTTTTGTGTACTATCCATGAATAAAATTAGCTCAATCTGATAATCATAATAATTTTATTTTATCATTTCTATCTTTAAAAAAATAGACAAACAAATATATTTTTAAAATAAACCATTCATTGTGAAAATTTGTTTAAAATATAGGAATTTGTGATACTAATTGCGACTTATGATTTTAAAAATTACATCTCACTCTTTCAAATATATAATCGCATAACAAATTATCCTTTCATTAATTAACCAATAAGTCAATTAATAGTTTTTTTATAAATTTTGATAAAAAAATATTTGTAATTTCCGAAACCATTGAAAGTAATTCACATTTTAAACAAGGGGAATCTTTTTTAAGGTCCTTGATATTAAGATTTTATAAGATAAATAACATACAATATTTTCATAATAGTTAAGATTCCTCAACATTTTCATAGAAAAAATTCGACTGAGAGATATTTTGCCCGACTCAGAGAAATTTAGTCCTGACTCAGAGGAATTTCAATTTTCATAGAGAAACAAAATTTCTCTAAGTTGAGGCCAAAATTTCTCTAAATAGGGCAAAATTTCTCTGAGTCGAACAAGATTTATCTAAATCAAATTTTTTCAGTAAAAATATTAAGGGACCTCAGCTAATAAAAAATAAAAATAAAAAATCTTAGACATTTTCTATTACACAAAATTAGAAAGAAATATTTTACTAATTTTCCTTTTGAACAAATCTCCAATAATATATTTGTAATTTACTCGTTTATCCACAAGAGAGTAAAAATAGCAAGTTAAATGACACGAGACGGTCCACCAACAAACAATTTGTTTACTATATACTGAGGACCAAACTTCATAAAAAAAAATTGAAGCCAAACAAAATTACAATACGCCCAACTAAGATAAATTTGCAATATTCTCAATATAAAAGGACAAAAATATAATTTAATGCAAAGCTAACATACAGATAAATTTGCAATATTCTCAATACAAAAAGGATAAATATGTAATTTAACACCAGGCTAACATACAGTCATTTGTTGAGGACAATTTAGGTAAAATAAAAAATGCACAATTTCTGTCTTTCAAAATGGAAGAGATTTTTGTAGTTGTAATATTTATTTATTTTTATACTATTATAAAGTGAACACCTCTTATGGTATTTGAACCTTAAACTTATGTCAAATGAATAAGACTCTTATCTCTTAACTAGTACATAATATATGATAAATATTTTATTTTATTTATATTTATTTGAATTATACACGCATCGCGTGTGGCAACCGCTAATATATATATATATATATATACACACATACGGATTTCACACATTCACTCTCTCTAAGGAATGTGTTTAGAAGTATAAATGAGTGTAATTGTAACATTAGTCATGTTTTTTTAATTCATTTTTTCTTTACCAGCTAAATACTACTTGAAATAATAAATTACGTAATTTAAAAGCAAAAACAAGTGGAACATACAAGCGCCACTCTGTGCGCCATTGACAAAGACAGCCAGCAATAGCAACACACCTCGACCTAAAAATTATTGGTTGATGTTTGATTTCCAAAATTAATAATAAAGTATTAATAATTTTATTAAATTAGTGTAGTATGTATTATTTAATTGAATTAATATTTATTGGATTAATAATCACATCCTTACTCCATTCCTAATAATCCTACAAATTTGTTAGATTAATTATCCATTGTATTAATAATCCTAAACTAAAATGTTAAAATAAATATCATAGATTAATAATCTCAATTTCATGCTCTAATCCACCTAATCAAACATGCCCTTAGAGTATTACATCATTATATTATACACCAATCACAATTTATGATGTTCTTTATATTTTTCAATAATTCAATATAAATTTATAATTTTACTCTTTTTATCAATCACGAGACTATTCACTTTTTAGAATTTACTTTTTAAAAAATTAATATTTTTCTGTTTTTCATATTTTTTTTTTATTTTCATTGAATTTTTTTAATTTTTAAACACACCTAAAATAAATATATTTAAAAAATATAATATTTGTAAAAAATAATTCAAAAAAATTAACTTAATATTAAAAATACAAAAAAAATATAAAAATTCAAGACATTTTTCATATTTTTGTGTGTTTATTAAATTTTTAAAATATTTTTTTGAATTAGTGTAGTATGTATTATTTAATTGAATTAATATTTATTGGATTAATAATCACATCCTTACTCCATTCCTAATAATCCTACAAATTTGTTAGATTAATTATCCATTGTATTAATAATCCTAAACTAAAATGTTAAAATAAATATCATAGATTAATAATCTCAATTTCATGCTCTAATCCACCTAATCAAACATGCCCTTAGAGTATTACATCATTATATTATACACCAATCACAATTTATGATGTTCTTTATATTTTTCAATAATTCAATATAAATTTATAATTTTACTCTTTTTATCAAT